AGCCCCCACCTCAGCCCCGGCCCCGTACCAGCCAGGCCCCTCGGGTTCTCTTTCTTTCTCTTTTTTTTAAATGTCGAAATAAACTTCTTACAAATGACCAGGCGCCTGTCAGCGCTCGCGTCGGTCGGTCTGCGCTCAGCCCTTTTCTCCTCCACCCCTCTTTAAGCCACTTCCCTCTCTTGGGACTTCGTTTGCTTACATCCTCAATAACGAAATATTTTTGTCCCTTTCTCTTCTTCGGTGCTGTGGTGGTGTGGAGGGGTCCCCGATTGGACACGCTGGGGACTTGGGCAGGGTCTCCCCTTCCTGGCCTCAGTCTTCCCGTCTCTACAATGAGGCGAGCCGGCTGCCCGGCTCCCCCCACTTCCTCTCCGTCTGGTTCCCTTCCAGCTCCCAGCCGGTCCGGAGGGCTGGCGGCGGGGGAGGGGCAGGAGCTAGTGCTCGGGCCCCGCTCTGCTGCGGGCCGGGCTGCGGTGCCCTCGCTGAGCCGACTCATCTGGCTGCGACAAGGGGGCCAGCAGCTGGTGACCGGCCCGCCGGGCGCGGGCCCGACAGATGGGCTCCGAGGCTGCTTGCTGCCCCCACCCCGCGCCCTGGCCAGGCTCGGGCTCCGGAAGCTTCGGCCTCCCGCGCTGCGTGGGACCTGACGCGCCTTTGCTGTGAACCTGACACCGCATCGGGTAACCCCCCACTCCCGCATCTTCTCACTTCTTCCTTTACCCCGGGAGTAAATTGGGAATGAGACCCACAGGGGCTCCAAATCCCAAGTCTGCCTCCTTCCCCCACTCCTTTCCGCCCCGTGGTTCCAGGATCTCAGGGGAGTGGATTTTAGTCCCAAGCCACATTCAAAGGCCAAGGTCACCTCCTGAGGACGTTCCCTCTTTGGAGAGAAGGGCGCAGGTGCTCTCCTCCCACATACCACTGCAGCCCACTGACCCCCAAGATGGAAGAAACGTGGGCTGGACGTTTCGGGCTAAGTTGAGCCCCCTCCAGTTTTCTGGCAGGGCTGCTCTGGGAGAGCGCTGCCTTGCCAAGAACGGGTGGGGGCACACACCCCGGTGAAAATCAGACTCATGCCCGGTCTGCTACTGTTTCCTCCCCACCCCCAACACACTCACACCATGCTTTTCTTTCCTGGGATGGTGAGGGTATTATTCTAATTTTGCAAAATGCACAGCAGCTACTGAAGTCAAGGAGCCCCTCGGCTTTTGAGTTCTTTTGCATGTAAATGGGGGTTGGTAAATCCCCAGCTCTGGCTGTGGTGGGGGGTGAAGGGGGATTGTCCCCAACTCTGGGTTAATGAAGTGGGAAAGGAGTCTCTCATAGCCTCCTGCAAACAAAACCCCCCATGCAACAAACCCTGCCCAAATCCTACATGGATTGACTTAAACCCAGGGGATAAGTGCTTTAAATTAATCTCATTGAATAAGAAGGAGACCAAACAAAACTCTTTAAAATCATATTAAAAATCTATCAAAGGACAACTTGCACTGGTGTGCTTTTCATTTTGTGAAAGTGAAGGAGGTAGACAAGAGCAACCATCCTTACATTTACACAGCAGCAGTGTAAATCACAGACACATTCTTAACTATGTAATTGTCCTTGTACCTCAGAGGCGATTTCATATCTTACATTAATGAAGAACAAGGCTCTCCTACAAGTTTATAATTACAATATTTTAAATTGTCCTGCAGTTCCCATCTATAATAATAACTTTACAACCTTTGCAGTGAGGTGGGCTTTTACTTTCATCCACTTAGAAGGCTAAATTGGTTTCTCTGTTCCCAACCCTGGGGCTGGGTGAACTCTCATTTAAAATAGGAAAAAAAAAGAACATGAGCCCTCAAGCAGGCAGAACAATAGCAGAGGCACGAAGAGGCATCTTAGCTGCTCCCACTGGCTTTCTCCCCCTTACAAACCTTGCCTTGCCAGGGTGGAAGGCTACAAAGTTTAAAAGAAGTTTAGCTTTCCCTACTAGCCTTCAGCTGCAAGGCTGCTGGGAATTTCTGAGAAGTCAAGCTGACTTTCAGGGTCCTCACTGTCCCCATACTGGCAGGCCTTGCTCTGGGTTTTTCCTGTGGTGGAGCAGATTAAGAGATAAGTGGTAACGGTCATAGAGGCAATTTACCACCACCAGTTAGTTAAGCATCCTTTGCAAGCAGGGCAACTTCTGTGAAACACTGTACATTTCTATCTAGGAGGCAACTGATGGATTTTAATGGCTTCCACTGACTTTATGTTGAGTGGCTCAAGTGCTAAATAGCGAGGCCACCCGCAGTCGGGAATACACCTCCCTTAAGGGGCTCTTGTTTACTCTTTTCCACCCTAAACCTCACTCACCTTCTTTCACTCTGGGGGTCTGGGGGCGTGTGAGGGGATCAAAGAAATCGACTGGGCTTTGCCAAAAAATGTCCTTTGCTGAGATTTGGTGGCTCTGCTTCTATAGGAGCAGGAGATGCCGTGAGCATTGCATCAGCCCTGACTTAATTGGATCACACACAGGCCCCCTCACTCACCAAGGGCTCCGTGTCCTTCAGTGCGTGAGAATGGGGGGCCCTTCTGAAGATGTGCAACCGCTAAGGGTTGCAAACACGAAGATGTTTTGGGTTAAAAAAAGGCATTCTCAAAGCCTATTGGGGAAAAAGCTTTAGGCTGAAATGTTCCGTTAAATGTCCAAGTTCTCTGTGATTTTAAACATGGGAAGTGTATGACAGAGAAATGGATAAGTTTGGGATATCAGAAAAAGGCACGATTAAAAAACACAAAATTAGAATATGTACAGTGGAATTACACTAAAGCTTTGCCTAATTGATGCCTGAAATGTATAATCTGTCAAGAGCTATGGCTAAGGAAGAGATTTATTTTTAAGGTTATTTAAGTTTAGATAATATTAACCCTAAATCTGCTAAATCCATGTTTCTTTATTAGCTGGTTTAATATATTGATTCTACTTAGAAACAGGCCTGCATAGCATCTATGGCAAGAAACCCTTACCTAAGTGTTAACAAATTAAGTGTAAGTTTCAATCTTGGAATTACAGTCACTTACACACTTTGCAAGATTCTAGCATTTCTCCCCCAGGAATGCAGAACTCTGCTGATATATCCTTTAATGGAATGAACACTCTGGAAAAAATGCAGGTTTTTCTCTTTGATCATCCCAAATCACTGGCATTAATCCTGTTTCCCACACAGCCGGGTTTTGTCTGTAAGTTTGAACCCTCTTTTTCTCATCCAAATCATGTGAACCATTACACATCAAAATAAAACAAAGGTGGCAGATTTGCCCAAAGTCAGCTTGACATGTGCTGTGGGGTTGTTTTTATTGTTGTTACAAATTTCACCAACTGTCCCTATTAATTCATATGTCACAGCCGACTCTAAGACGGTCATATTTTTCCTCATGCAGAAGATCAGTTCTTAGCAGGCTTATAGCTGCCCTCACCCCAGAGTCCTTCCTAGTGTGCTTTTAGCTGACATTTGCCTTGAGTCTGCCTGAGTGTGCCTGCCCGTGACCAGAGAGGGAACGGAGGCAAGGACGCTGAGCCCTCCTTGGTTTTCCGTGGAAAGGCCTGCCATGCCAGTCTCCCCATCCTCTCCTGGCCATTTCGGTCAGTTGGATCTGGAGTTTCTCCCTAAGTGCTGCCCCCACTCGCTGTCACAGGAATGTAAGGGGTGACAGAGGAAGAGGAAGAAGGAAAACAGAAGGAGAGAAAGAATGAAGAGCAAGTCCTAAGCGAAGGGGCTGAGGCTTTTTAACCCTTTCTCTTTTAGAGGCCTCTGGAGTTGCCCGTGTCCAAATCTTACATTTATTGAGAAATCAATACACCCCAGGGGTCCTCTTTTAAACCTCCCAGGAAACATAATGGGGAGGGGGGCAGTTGTGACTTGGGTCACAATACAAAGACCCCCAGACCTTTCCAGAAGATGAGATTGGATGGGGCGAGAGGAAAAAAAAAAAAAAAAACTCAGGGCACTGGTGTCTTTTGACTTCAAAGGCAAATAATAAAAAGGCAACAGTAAATCAATTAGCCTCGAGAGAATAAATTTTCAGTGGGCACTGAACAGGAAGCAATGCATGGAAATGGGACGTGATGTTTATAGCAACGTACTTACAGAAAATAAGAGGGCTCACGTGACTGAAAACACTGTAGGATTTTTGACTTGTATCAAAAACTCTTTTGGTTCTTAACAAAGCATTTGTACATAAAGAAAATGATTATTTGATAAATATATTTTTCTCTTTTCATAAAAGTTCAATTCCAATTTTTAAAACCTTACTTTACAAAATTCATGCCAATTATATACATTGATAGCACTAAAGTAAAACCATGAAGCTTCTTTAGGACACTGTTACAGGGCAGGAATGAAATCCCTTACAGGCCAGTGCAGAACACGTTAGGCTTCTACATAAGTCGTGAGGGCTCAATGTGATATATGGCAAACCGGCACCTGGGTCAAGTTAAATGCCTGGCACTGATGGAATCAATATAAGGTATATCTTATATAAGAAATAAATTAATTGGTTAATTCATACTCTGCTGACCCCCCACCCCCACTGATATCTATCAGGATCACCCCCTCCACCACCAAAGACAAGGGCTGTGGCTTTTACAATGGTCTGAGGGACACAGAATTCTGTTGAAAGCACTGCAGTTGTTCTCCACAAGCCTCCTTTGACAAGTACAGGACACCAATCTGGTGCCACCCAGGCCTCCACGAGCCACTCCGAAGCACAGTTCTGTAGAGACAGAGTGTAAAAAACTTTCTGGTAAGTTTCAAGTTTTTCCAACATTTCATGGAGAAAGTTTCTTGTTTTTTCCCCACAACAAAGGCTGGGTGCAGGCTGCAGCTCAGCTCTGCCGCGGCTGACTGCCGGGTTTTCCCTGTTTGTTCTGCTTTTCGACCTTGGTGACGCCAGCCTCCACCCCACTTGAGTATTCAGAAAGCAAGAGTTCAGCAAGGCGGTGTTTCCTCTGGGTCTTCCTATGAAGGTCAGGCCTGAAGAACAGTAACAACAGAGGGGGAAAAGAAACTTTATTATATTTTTTCCTTCCCATTTGGAAAGAGGCAGATAGTGGCTGGTTCCGAGACTGTGAAACTGACATTTTTGTATTAACAGAAGTACAATTCCTTCAATAGTGCTTATTTTGATATTCTATGCACCAGAAGATTAGATACGGCACTGACAGATTTTCAGAACAGTGGCAAAATATCATGGCATTTTTAAAAGTGAGGCTTTGTTCTATGTTGTTTTCATGGAAAAAAAAAGAACTTTACACACTCGTACTCTGATAGCAAATGAGGTGTATGACACAACAGTTTGCCAAAGCATAAGGGGAAAAAAAACAGCCCTAAAATGCCACAACATTCAGCAGTGAAAGCACTTAGGCAATTCTCCAGTCACCCCAATGCAGTTCAAAGCAATAGGCCTCCTTATGGGCAACTGCTGGCCCCAGGACTCAGCCCTCAGGAACAGAGAGGATGGCTGGCTGGGTCCCAACAGGCACGGCCGGGGGTGTTCATCACAGACACCTCTTCATCAACTAAGAAGGCTCTAAAAATTATTTCTGACCTTGCAAAACCCAAACCCAGAGTGGTCAGTGTCCACACTGAGGCTAGAACTGCAACTTTCCAGGGCACGCACAGACCTGTGTGTGCGAGGGGGGTCTCTCCCTGCAGTAATCCACACAGAGAATGTCAATGGGTGAAAATCAATTTCAGCTGCTGAATCACAGTAACTGTTTTCAAAAGACGGCGGCCTTACCATTTGATGAGAAGATCAGAGGAAGAAATTTGTAGAAGTTCAGCCATACATAAGAAAAATGATTACGAAAACTGGAGAGTAAACTAATGTTGCTTAAGACAGGATTTTAACTAAAACAACAGCAAAATGACTACCACCAAATCCATATCGCCATACTGGTAATGCCTTCAACACTGAAATGGTGATGTCTTAGGGTTCTTACACAGGCAGATGTTAGCCTCTACTACTTATTAAAGCTCATGAGATTTTCTTTCTGTAATAATATGGAGGACAAATGGGACCGAGCTTGTGGTAAAAATAAATGTAACGGAACTCCTTTAAAACCCAAGAACTAGAAACAACACTAATAACTGTGCTATTAAACCAAAAATGAAAGGTTGCATAATCCTGTTATAGCATTAATAACTATGTTAAAGCAATAATACCTATTTATAATTATGCTCCAGAGGATAGGGTTCAAGTAATGCAGCTAAATTCATGTTATAGTCACATAATGGTTTTCTACTGTAACATGCAGAAAGAAGCACAAAGGCAACCTCTGTTGGAAAAAAAGAAGACTTGAGGCAAGGGGATAATCAGGACATAATATTTAAGGGCTGGGAGTTTATAAGGTATGTTGTGTGTCAGGGGCAGGGTTTAGCAAGAAGATTAGAAATATACAGGGAAATACTTCTTGTGTTCTGTGCAAAATGATTTATGTACATTATCTCATATAATCCTCACTTGATGAGCTAGCTACTATTATTATCCTCATTTTACAGACAAGGAGACTAAGATTCAGGGAGGGGAAGTGACTTGCCCAAGACCACAGGGCTAATAAGCCAAGATGCAAACCAGGGTCAGCCTGACTCCCAAGCCTACATCCTCCCACCAGGTTGTGTGTCGAGGAGGAGAGAACGATCCACAGTACCAGGTGCAACAAGAAGGTCCAGCAGGATAAAGGGTGAAAAATGACCACGACTGGAAATGGAGGAGTCCTCTGTAGCCTCATAAGGAGTCATTTCAGTGGAACAACCTAGGCGGAAGCTAGATGACAGAGTAAGGAGGGGGAGAGAAAGGAGAGCTGAAGGGTGAAGAAGAACCCGGCTGTCACTCATGAGCTGTATGACAATGGATGGGTGATGCAGGTTCTCTGTGCCTCACTTTCCTCATCTGAAAAATGAGGATGATCCTTAACGCTCATAAGGTTTTGTAAAGATCACATGAAATAAGACGTATAAAGTGCTGGCTAGCATGTGGTTTGCCATCAATCACAGTGAAAAATGAGGAAATTCAGGTCCAGAAATGCCAAGCCACTGCCACAAGGCCACAGAGGAGCCAGGACTGACTCTGGGGTCCTTGACAGCTTGGCTGGGGCTCTTTTGATGGCATTCATCATCCTCTAAAAACGATGCTCCTAGTTCCTGGGACCCTGCCTAGCATGGGCTGTGAGCACTGGTGTCCCTGGTAGGGGGCCAGGCCGCAGAGGGCTGACGTGTAGTTTGGAAGCTGCAGGAGGTGGGCCCTGCAGTTGACAGCGCTAAACTTGTTCCAAACTGACGGCTGCCAGTTCTGTGTGCTTGTAGTTTATTTTTAGTTGGGTTTCATGACAGACGGAGTGAAAAGGTTCTGACAGGAAGGAATGCTTTTTCTTCCCCTTGTTTGAAGCCAGGTACTCACAATGTGTATAATTTTAAATGTAACAACCTGAGTTTCAAAATATGCAAAATTTCAGTCAAAATATTCTCCCCAGCATAAGCTCTAGCACTTCAATGATTGCTCCTGCCACTGCTAAAGCAAAATAAATAACTAGAATCTTATCTCGGTGATTGATCCACTAATTGCCTACAGAGATAGCACAGGCTGTGGAGACACCGTTGTTCCTGCCAAAGGCGTTCACGCAGTGTGTCTGTGCGCACTCAGACTGGTAGTCCACTAGTCAGAGGCTGAAGAGATGGGCATGAAAGACAACATTTGTGTACGCAATATACAGGCACAAATACCATTCTGTACACACACCACCAGTCAGTCCACTCCCACATTTACCCAACGTCTGTCCCTTCACAGACAAGCATGGCTGGGTCTGGGGTAGCGGAAGTAATCCTTGGTAGGTATATCATGCCACTAAACAGGAAAACAGGAATATTTATTTAGGATCTTTGAGTCACACTGGCTGTAGGGGATGCCATTAGAAAGCAGACCTTGCCTTAAGGTTACGACCTCAACATTTCCTAGGTATTCTACCATTTTATTCTAGTCAGTGGACTTTCAACTTGGGACCCAAAACCCAGCCGTCCACCAACTCAGAGGATCCTCGTGCTTACATGTTTCAGACCCAGACCTATTCCTATGGGGGTTTCACCTGCTGTCACAGCAGCCACCCCAGTGGGACCCATCTTTTTCCTTGGTCAGTGCACTGTCTCCTTTTCCTTTGTTCTGAGGCCCAGGTCTGAAAAGGCAAAGTACAGATGGGAGATGGAATGTTCTAAACCTAAGCATGTGATGCCAAGCTGCAGTTTTCCCAGAAACTTGCCAACTTTCTTGCCCTACTTGCCCTCCAAATACCCAAACGTCTCTCACACTGGCTTCCTGAGCATCCGCAGTAGTAATCCTGTAGTTACCAAGCAACAAATCAGTTTAGCTAACCGTAGGGAACTCCCTTGTAAGTGAAGGCTGAATAAATCCACCCTCAGTGACCAGGCTGGATTACTCAGCAGGATAGGCAGATGCCAGTTTTACTGCAAATAAGGTGAAATCACAGCCTAATTAGTAAATCAATATACCCCGCTATGATGACCACTAGAAAAGAGCTCTCAGGACCTTCTTCCACTTTACCAACAAGTTCACAGAATGATTATCCTAGTGGTAGAAAGCCATTCCAATAGAGACTTTTATTAATGGCATTTTTTTACAGGACAGAATTTAAAATTTTATTTTATGTATCTATTGTCAAGTCTAGGAGCCCAGGTGGCTCAACGGTTAAGTGCTCAGCTGCTAACCAAAAGGCTGGCGCTTCAAACCTACCCGGTGGCTCCGTGGGAGAAAGACCTGGTGATCTGCTCTTATAAAGATTACAGTCTAGAAAACCCTATGGGGCAGTTCTACTGTCACAGGTGGTCACTATGAGTTGAAATTGACTGAATGGCACCTAACAACAACAACAAACTATCAAGTCTATCAATATTTTCTGGCTTTAGGGTCATGCTTAGAAAAGTCATCTTTAGTTCAAAGATTTAAAAAATATTCAAGTGTATTTTCTTTTAATCTGTTATTCCTTTAACTCTAATTCCATCAAATCCACCAGGCGCTCCTTGGAAACCGTATGGGACAGTTCTACTCTGTCCTATAGGGTCACTATGAGTCGGAATAGACTCGACGGCAACAGCTTTGGTTTTTTTGGTTTCTAATTCCATCTAGATCTTGTTTTGGGTTATGGTATGGAGTAGGGAATCTATTTCTACCCAAGAGTTAACCAGTTATCCAAGACAGGCACTGAACAACAAATCTTTTCCTTGAAATGCCTCTTTAGAACGCTTCCTATAGGCTTTAAGAACACTCCTCGTAGGCTATGTTAAAGAGTAGGTGATGATGATGATAATGGTGGCTAACATTAATGGGGTCTACTAAACATATTAAAACAACATTTAAGTGCATACCAATTACATGGATTGTTAATGGATTTCAATATAAAACAGGTCAAATCAAAGCCATTCAAACCAGCTACCAGACCTTAATAATATTGGCTAACACACTGCGTTTGCTGTGTGTTAGGCACTGTTTGAAGCACTTCATAGGCATTTAATTCACTTCTCCAAAAGCCTCATAAAACAGGTATCATTAGTGTCTCCATTTTCCTAGTAAAGAAACTGGGGCACAGAGAGGTTAACTAATTTGTTCAGGGTCACATATCAGTAATGGAAGAGCCAGAATTTGAACCTGAGGTTTGACTCCACAGCTTGTGTGCTTAACCACTGCCCTGTAAGTTTTCTAAACAAGGAACAAGTTCCTTGCATGAAATATTTTTAAATATAAAAACAATATTTACATTATCTGAAATCCTGAAGCTTTTTGGAACCCATGATAAAAGTGTGTCTTAATAGTCTGATATCTTGTTACGTGAAAAAAGTAGTTGAAAAAAAATAATGATTTGGTCAATCTCATTTTTGTGGAAAAAAAAGTATATAGGCAGAAAAAGACTGGCTAAAATGTCAATCAAGGTTAACTTAGATTGTAGGTTTATGGTTATTTTTTAGGC